GAAGGGGGAAGGGTGAAGGGTGAAGGGGGAAAAGGGGGGGGTGAGGTGCGACGCGGTGAGCGCCCAACCGCACGGCGAGAGAGCGGGAGGCTGGCGCGCCTCTCACAGCTGCAGGTGTGAAGAGACGCTGTTCACAGCTGCAGCTGTGAACAGCGGGAGGCTGGGGCGCCTGCTCACACGCACCGTCACATGCACCGTCGGCGTGGGGAGCGGAATGCGCCGCCGCCGTCGCGCGGAGGGGGCGGCCCCACGCCGCCCTCTCAGCCGACCGGCTGCAGCAGCGACGTCGCCTTGAACTCCTCGAGCACCCGCCCGGCGGCGATCGCCGCGCGCCGGCCCGCGAGCGGCAGCTCCTTTGCAACCTCCCGCGCCGCGTCGGTCGCCGCGTCACGCAGCGAGACGGACGCGGCGGCGGTGGCGCGGCCGGCCTTGTGTAGCGCGCGGTCCGTCGAGCCGAGGATCGAGCGAACACCCGTCAAAACGTGCTCCGACGCGGAGTCGCTCCAGCAGCGCCCGCCTATTATTGTTATTATTATTATTATTATTATTATTATTATTATTACTACTACTACTATTATTACTATTATTTTTACTATTACTATTACTACTATTACTATTACTACTAATACTATTATTATTACCGGCCGCAGCCGTGGCCGCGTGCGCGCGCTCCTCGGCCAGCGCGCGCTCGGCGTCCACGCGGCCAACCTCGGCCTCGAGGTCGCTCTGCCGGTCCTTGGAGGCGCGCAGCTGCCGGAGCAGCGCGTCGCGCTCCTTGGCAATGGCGCTCTCTCGGCCGGCGTACTCCTCGCCCAATGCTCGCGCCGCCTGCAGCTCGCCCGAAAGGGAGGCGACGCGCCGCTCGTACGCGTGCAGGGCCTGCCCCTTCTCCGCCGCCAGCCGGTCGACGAGGCCGCGCATCAGCTTGGCCTCGCGCGCCGCCGAGGGGTCAGAGGAAAAGCACCACGCGTGGGCCGCCGGACCGACCAGCGGAGTCAGCAGCAGCGCCAGCAGCGCCAGCAGGCGCAGCGCGGTGCGAGGGGCGACGCCGACGGCGGAGCAGCCCGCGGCTGCGGCGCGCTGGGCGGCGGCGACGCCGCGGCGGGCGGTGGCGGCGACGGTCGCGGCGGCGGCGGTGGCGGCGAAGGAGGAGCGGGTGGCGAGGGAGCGGGAGACGCGCCAGTTCTCGTACTTCATGCGCGAGGCGTGCTTGAGCTCCTGCGGGTTCGGGTACCGTGGGGTAGGGGAGGGTTCGGGTGCCGTGGGGTAGGGGAGGGTTCGGGTGCCGTGGGGTAGGGGAGGGTTCGGGTGCCGTGGGGATAGGGGAGGGTGGGTTCGGGTACCGTGGGGAATGGAGGGTGGATTCGGGTACCGTTGGGCGGGGGGTTCGGGTACCGTGGGGGTAGGGGATGCGCCTGCCACTGTCCCGACCACATGACGAGGTTCCGCAGCGCGGGCAGGTCCGAGTGCGACGGCTCGGACGAGAGCGCGTTCCCCCACGGGTACTTTCGCAGGTACACCGACACGCCCGCGTCCAGGTGCGCGTCGGTCGAGCCGATGACGGCCCACGGCGGCTTGTACTCCTGCCGGTCTTGCGCCTCCATCGCACGGAGCGAGATCGGGTCGAAGGCGTACGGCTCGATGCCCTCGCGCGCGAGCGTCTCGCGGACCTACTCTCGGGCGATCTCGGGCGATCTCGGGCGGTCTCGGGCGATCTCGGGCGATCTCGGGCGATCTCGGGCGATCTCGGGCGATCTCTGGCGATCTCTGGCGATCTCTGGCGATCTCTGGCGATCTCAGGCGGTCTCGGGCGATCTCGGGCGATCTCGGGCGATCTCGCGCGATCTCGCGCGATCTCGCGGGCCTGGAGCTTGAACTCCTCCTTCTCCTTGGTGGTCATCGTGTCGCTCTTTGCGATGATCGGCACGATGTTGACCTAGGGTTAGGGTTAGGGTTAGGGTTAGGGTTAGGGTTAGGGTTAGGGTTAGGGTTAGGGTTAGGGTTAGGGTTAGGGTTAGTACGATGTTGACCTAAGGTAGGTAAGGTAAGGTAGACTTCTCCACACACACGAGGTGGTGGGGCAAGGGGGGGCGACCCTCGCGTCTCCACGTCTAACGACAGGAGCCCCGCGGCATTCAAAGTGCAAGGCCCAGTGCGCGTGGGTGAGCGGTGTGTGTGTGTGTGTGTGTTGACCTTCTTGTGCAGCCGGCGCATGAACTCGACGTCGATGTGCTTGAGCCGGTGCGGCGCGATGAAGTAGAGGCAGACGTGCACCAGAGGGTCCTGCTCACAGCTGCAGGTGTGAAGAGACGCGGTTCACAGGCGTGCACCAGAGGGTCCTGCGTGCCAAAGACGCCAGCCTCAGGGCGGGAAGGCGGTAGTGGGCAGTGCGTTCAGAGCACCGCGTGAGTCCAGCGGAGAAGAGGACAGCGAACACAGCGGAAGGCGGCCGGATACGGCGGAGTACGCCTCCTCTCGGGCGCTAGTTGGGAGACATGAACACACGTCTTCCGCGTCTAGTCAGCGGGTCCTCGTTCCGCAGCCTCTCGTAGTCGCGTTCGGCGCCGGACGTCTCTGCGACCAGCTGCGCCTCGAAGAGCCCCTCCACGTGCGACGTGATCACCTGCTCACAGCTGCAGGTGTGAAGAGACGCTGTTCACAGCTGGTGAAGAAGAAGGAGACCCACACCTGCTCACAGCTGCAGGTGTGAAGAGACGCTGTTCACAGCGAGCCCCTCCACGTGGCACGTGGATCACCTGCTCACAGCTGCAGGTGTGAAGAGACGCTGTTCACAGCGAGCCCCTCCACGTGCGACGTGATCACCTGCTCACAGCTGCAGGTGTGAAGAGACGCTGTTCACAGCGAGCCCCTCCACGTGGCACATAAACACGTCAAACGAGTCGACCGTGTTCAGGTTCTCGCCGTAGCCCGGAGTGTCGATCAGGCTCACCACGAGCTCGTGCTTGCCTGTTCACAGCTGCAGGTGTGAAGAGGCGCCGTTCACAGCCAGAGGGCACCACGAGCTCGTGCTTGCCTGTTCACAGCTGCAGGTGTGAAGAGACGCCGTTCACAGCCAGAGGGCACCACGAGCTCGTGCTTGCCTGTTCACAGCTGCAGGTGTGAAGAGACGCCGTTCACAGCCAGAGGGCACCACGAGCTCGTGCTTGCCTGTTCACAGCTGCAGGTGTGAAGAGACGCCGTTCACAGCCAGAGGGCACCACGAGCTCGTGCTTGCCTGTTCACAGCTGCAGGTGTGAAGAGACGCCGTTCACAGCCAGAGGGCACCACGAGCTCGTGCTTGCCTGTTCACAGCTGCAGGTGTGAAGAGACGCCGTTCACAGCCAGAGGGCACCACGAGCTCGTGCTTGCCTGTTCACAGCTGCAGGTGTGAAGAGACGCCGTTCACAGCCAGAGGGCACCACGAGCTCGGGCTTGCCTGTTCACAGCTGCAGGTGTGAAGAGACGCCGTTCACAGCCAGAGGGCACCACGAGCTCGTGCTTGCCTGTTCACAGCTGCAGGTGTGAAGAGACGCCGTTCACAGCCAGAGGGCACCACGAGCTCGTGCTTGCCTGTTCACAGCTGCAGGTGTGAAGAGACGCCGTTCACAGCCAGAGGGCACCACGAGCTCGTGCTTGCCTGTTCACAGCTGCAGGTGTGAAGAGGCGCCGTTCACAGCCAGAGGGCACCACGAGCTCGTGCTTGCCTGTTCACAGCTGCAGGTGTGAAGAGGCGCCGTTCACAGCCAGAGGGCACCACGAGCTCGTGCTTGCCTGTTCACAGCTGCAGGTGTGAAGAGGCGCCGTTCACAGCCAGAGGGCACCACGAGCTCGGGCGTGCCGACGGTGATGCAAAACGGGTCGAACCGCGAGACGCGCACCTGCCCACGCCGAGAGGTGTGAAGAGGCGCTGTTCACAGCCAGTCAGGTCGAACCGCGAGACCCGCACCTGCCCACGCCGAGAGGTGTGAAGAGGCGCTGTTCACAGCCAGTCAGGTCGAACCGCGAGACGCGCACCTGCCCACGCCGAGCGGTGTGAAGAGGCGCTGTTCACAGCCAGTCAGGTCGAACCGCGAGCCCACATCTCCCCACATCTCCCCACACCTCCCCACACCTCCCCACACCTCCCCACACCTCCCCACACCTCCCCGCACCTCCCCGCACCTCCCCACATCTCCCCATACCTCCCCACACCTCCCCACACCTCCCCACAGCTCCCCACACCTCCCCACACCTCCCCACACCTCTCCACCCGGCCCCACCCCTCCCCACACCTCCCCATACCTCCCCACA